TACCGGTTTCCGAGAAATTTGGAGGGGGGAAGAGGAAAATATATTGCTTAAAAATGTAGGGCATATTGATAAATCTTTATTGACAAAATATTGACAATGACATACTTCTTGGAAGTATATAGTGTGTTAGAATTCTAACAAATTAAACACAAACCACAAAAATATTTACATTCTGGTATAGAAGACATGAAGGAAACATTTGTCACTTTTTTTTAGTAGCTCTATGATCTCGGAATATTATAAGGTCAGTGCTTGAAAATTGCCCCAATGAAAATGGCCATTAGAAAAAAAAAATTAAAAAAAAAAAAATCAATCCACGATTTTAAGTCCCTTTTCTCTGGATCCTCCCAGCCTGGGAGGCGTCCCCACCGCCAGACCTGGTCGCTGGGTTTTCACTTTAGTAATCTTAAAAAATAACCATCATCCGGCCCGTTGTGAAGATGGGAGAGAGCGGGGGGGGGGGGGGGAAATAATTTGATTATTTTTTTTTTTTGGCAGCAAAAGTTATGACCAGCCCCAACCTCCCCCCCGCTTTCCCTCCCGTCCCTCCCCTGCCCCACCGTGTTTGTCCATCCGGAAGGAACACTATGCTTTGTTACTGCTACTTCATTTAGCTTTCACAAACACTTTGACGCCAGAAGTTATCATAAAATGTTTACAGACTGCACATTTCTCGTAAAATAAAATTAAAAAGCACACAGAACCTGTCTTAAAGGGAAAAAAAAATTACAATTCATTTCTGTCTTTAGGAACCGGGGTAATTTTTTTCCATTTTTTCTTTTTTTTTCTTTTTAAGATTTTTTTCCCAAGATTTTTTTTTTTTAATTTTTTGACGTTATGCTTTTAAAAGCGGACTGCGAGAAACGGAATACCTGTCAATCACCTCGTCCCGGTGTTTTGGCTCTGATTGACAGATCCCCCCTTGCCAGAGCGGTGCCGGCAGTGCCACAGTTCGCCCCTCGCCGTCTCGCCCTCGCTGGCTCCCAGCTGCCCTCCCAGGCGGGAATCGCACTTTTGCAATTCAAGTTTCTGAAACAGGTGTGAGTTTTGGCTGGTTATGGAAATTACTCTTTTAAAGACGGAAAAAACTGTGAAGTGCAAAATGTCCTGTAAGGTGGTAATTTTTCTGGTTTGGTTGGGGGGAAAGAGGGTTGCTTCTTTTTTTTTCTTTTTAAGATTTTTTTCCCAAGATTTTTTTTTTTTTAATTTTTTGACGTTATGCTTTTAAAAGCGGACTGCGAGAAACGGAATACCTGTCAATCACCTCGTCCCGGTGTTTTGGCTCTGATTGACAGATCCCCCCTTGCCAGAGCGGTGCCGGCAGTGCCACAGTTCGCCCCTCGCCGTCTCGCCCTCGCTGGCTCCCAGCTGCCCTCCCAGGCGGGAATCGCACTTTTGATGAAGATCTCCGGGTCCCTTCCCCGCACCGCCACACCGGGGAGGTGTGGGGGGGTGTCTGAGCCTTTAACACTTTCTGTTGGTGGGGTGCCTGGCTTTGAAAAGTCAAAAAAGTGCCAGTTTTTAATCGTCCGACGTGACGTCGATTTCCTCTGGACTGGCTTGTTTGGTGGCGATTCTCCACCGGTTAATGTGATGAGTCCCTTTTTTCTTCTGTTGTGAATCTGAACCTTCCTCTTCCAGCT